TGTTACTAGTAGCGATGCCCTTGCTCCTAGTAGCGATGCCCTTTGTTACTAGTAGCGATGCCCTTGCTCCTAGTAGCGATGCCCTTTGTTACTAGCAGGGATGCTCTTGCTCCTAGTAGCGATGCCCTTTGTTACTAGTAGCGATGCCCTTGCTCCTAGTAGCTTCTTGTTACTAATAAATAGGAAAAATGTGTTCTACGTCTCTTGTGGTTCTGTTCGCCTTCCTCGCACCTCCCAGCTCACTTAGGAAGCATTTGGGGTTGGCCTCGAACGTTCCGGGTGAACACGGTGGGTGAATCGCAGTCTTGGATGTCTTGGTTGGTCGAGCCCGCAAAGAGCCTGGATCTGCTTTCATGTGACAGATCTTGGATGGATGGGCCGAGATTCAGAAAGACCAGTTTGCGAGTCCATCCGTAGCTACACCAGCACCCCTGCGGCAGCCTCTTCTTTTTCATGGTTCATTTAGGGTTTAGGGTTTTTGTTTGGGGTTAGGTTTAGCAAATACATTGGACACGCTCTCCCACCAACAAAACATGACAAGACCACACTTGTACACTGATGAACGCATACTTCTCCTCCAGCGACTACAGCTACTACGTGAGTGCTGCTGATTCAGGTCAAGTGGACTCTTGAACTAGATCTCACCATAGAGTCGATTGAATCATCCTTCTATGACACGCAAACGATGGCATTGAATGAATGCCTTTGCGTTGAAGCTTTCTCAAAGAAACTGTTCACAGGAATTGTTCTTACAGGTAAAAGTGTCATTGGTGACAAAGTGATGGGTGGATTAGGATGATTCAGTGGCCGAAGCGCTAGTGCGCTAGTGAGGAAGGAGTGAGCAAGGCCTCTGGGAAACTTCGACACAACAAGGCCAATCTGCCTCTGCAAAGCACACGGAGAAAAGAAACCCTTTTTCAAGTGCGCTTCTGGCCGGGGCCTCCGAAGACCTTTCAGATCGAGACTTTACAGGTGAGTCACTTCTTCCAGAAAGGAGATGAACAAGGAGACTCAGCCAAGGAGACTTTTGACAATCAGCTGAGGATGGTTGGAATGCAGCGGCTCAGTCATCATCATATTCTTCATGTAGAACCTCCTTGAGCTCTAAGCGGATCAATGTGTGCTCGTCACCTGGGAAAACAAAAAAGGCAAAAATATATAGAATATACAAAAGAATAAAAAGATACGGGAAAAGGACTGTAAGTCACCTTATTAATGGGGGCCTTACCTTCCTTTGTTCATCTCATTTTCTTCTTGTATGCCGGAAGCGAGGTTTCCTCGCACAACAATTTTCACTTTAGGTTTAGCTTGGGTGGCTTTCTTGCGTGCTACTTATGGTGACTTGATGGCTTCGATTACCCAATCAGTTGCAACTGGCTAGTTGAAGAACAGCAACCCCACCCAGTGACTACTTCCAATCGCTCCAGTATCACTCGTGTGATGAATAGTGCTTCACCGCAGCTGCTTTGCTACAAAAATATTAGGCCAGCATAGACCCCAAGTAGCCAATTGACTTTTCCGGCAGTACCAGCAGCACACTGCAGCGGCAACGTAGCGGCACCCCACCGCCTCCAGCACCCAAGCTCCCAAGCAGCACCCAAGCTCCCAAGCGCATACAGCAGCGGCACCCTGCAGCACCCAAGCCCCCAAGCGCACACAGCAGCGGCACCCTGCAGCAGCACCCTGCAGCGGCACCCTGCAGCGGCACTAGCCCAAGCACCCTGCAGCGGCACCCTGCACGCAAGCTCCCAAGTGCACACAGCAGCGGCACCCTGCAGCCGCACCAGCACCCAAGCGTGAAAACGCACACATGCAGCTCTTCCTATACTTGAAGTAAGAACCCCAATAGCTCACGCTATCTGGGGAAGTACAGTAATATTGCTTTTCATTGTTGTTCTTTCTGCTGAATCCGACTTCCTGGAACCCTTTCTCCTCTTTCTTCCAAACGATTTGGCAGCCATGTTTGGAGACCAGCTAGCAAAAGCGGTCCATCCCAACCTACCCAGTGAACCCTAAAGAACAGAGTCCTGGAACCTTAAGATTCCTTCAGATCCTTGATTTAAAATGAACCAAGGTACCATTGAGTGCATCTTTTTCAAAGCGACACTCTACTCGCAGTTGCAGCTGTTCCAAGCATCCGCGTATCACGCCGCAAATGAGGTTGGAGTACCACCTGGAGAATCATATGCGCCATTTGACCACTCAGAACATGAAGAAGGAAAGAGTTGCACGTGTCATGTCAGTCAAGTCACAAGCGATTTGTCAGGTTTGCCGGCAGCTCCACGTATTCAGCCAGTGGGTTTTCCGGCAAGACCAGCGAGCAAGCAGTCATCTCCTCGCGGTTAGCAATCAATGAATCATTCGGGTCAGCTCGAAAACTACACACCTGTGATTGAAAATTGCATATATAACTAATTCCAAGTTATCCGTTAAGTGTCTCACAACCCCGTTCCTTGTTCCACATGACTACCTCGCCGCTGATGCCAAGAAACATCCGAAGACCCACCTGTGCTTGATGAATTCAGAATATGGCTCAAGGCACTGGACATAGCTTTCACAAAATGAATCTCAAATCTGTTCTGCAAAGAGTCTCCCAACCTTGGCAATGACTTCACAAGTGTCCCGAAAATCTTGGCAGGCATTGATGCCACTCTTGGCGAGAAACTCATCAATCAGTCGCAAACCAATGTTATATCCCATCTTCTCCAGCCTCAGCTCGCTCAACGTTACCCCGAGCCAAAAACAAGGATCCAACCAAACAGGCGGGTCTGAGCATGTAGGAGCCACACGCGTCACGCATGCACGCTTGTTGACATCAGTTGCTTCTGCTGTCCGGGCAATAGAAGCCACGTGGTTCACAGCACATGGACACCCGTCGTGCTTTGAGAGTTTCTGATAGGTTTAGACATGTTTCATTCCATAGGTATTCTATCGGGGTAGGTAGGCAAGGTGTTATGCAAACCCTTGTTGCAGGGTGATTCCCTTCGTCCTTGTTCTGCCTAGAGTCGCTCTGAAAGTTTCAATGTGAAGTTGTCAAAAGACCCAGGGAAATTACACACAAAACAAAAAGCTGGTCAGTATGCCGAAGCATGCGTCCAACAAACAACACAGCTAGACCGCCCCTGGCCTGCAGCACACAATCGTGCCATTCCCCCTGTGAAGAAAGAGGCCCTCCAAAATTGTGGCTTTTAGGATGAAGAATACCCTGCGCATTTTCACGCAACGGTCCCTCACTTATAGGGCTCATCTGTCTCAAAGCGTACAAGTGTTTATCATCTTATTGGAAGTAAACGTTTCCTCTAGCCTCTAATATCATATTGCCTTTTTGTACCTATAAGATCTGCATTTGCTGATGCAATCAGCATCTTCACAACCATGTCCACCCGTGGAAAGGCCCTGCAACGACCTTTTCCTTCATGAAACATTCTTGAAGTTCCCTCATTGCATGAAAATGTCTTTTATGAGTCAAGCCTTTGCTCATTCACGCAAGTATTTTCCTTGCCCACACCTTGTTTTTATTGCACGCCAAGACAAGGAATTCAAGCGTATAGGCGTATAGTGATTGCAGTCACAATAGGCACCGAAACTCAGTTTTGCAGCTCTCACTTCCCGGCTTCTCTACTCGAATAGCTTGGTACAAGTAACTGTGCGTTCACTGCATCCACATCCTCAATGTCGCGTAGTAGCTGAGTGACCAGGGAGCCGTAGGTCAGCACAAATAGGTCTGCATTGACCTTCGGATCCCAGCTTTGATAGCTGTTGGGGTTCTGACTTCAATTATTTCAAGCATTAGGAAGAGGTGCCGGGGTGTGCTTTAGAGCCTGGGTGCTGGTACCGCTGTAGGGCTACTAGATGCCTATGGCAGTGCGTGCTTTGGAGCCTGTGTTCTGGTGCCGCTGCAGGACGCTGCCCAAAGGAATCTTTTGCTATCTGGGTCTATGGCCTAATCTTTTGGTAGGAGCTGCCGGTCAAAAGTGAATCTAAGTAAGAGGTAATCAACTACCAGTTTACTAGTAGCTTAAGACTCAAGAAGCTACTTAGGCTTAGCAGGGCTCAGGCTCAATGATTTGGCTCCTAGATTCTTTGGGAAACTTAAACTTCAATTGACCTTCTTTGTCCAATTGTCAACGCACGAGAGGAATCATGAGAAGCTACCCCAAACTAAAACCAAGCCAAACGAATAAACGACTCAAGCCCTGGACAACTCAAACACCGGTGTGACACCCTGCCTTTTCCATGCGATTAAAGGCTCTGTCTCCGAGCTTGCCATACCTTTCGGAAAACAACTGATCTAGATTTAGATTAGCAACAACATAGTGATGATAGCATTGTTGCAAGACTGCCCACTTTTTGACTGGTTGCTTGTCGATTGCCGCAGTTCTCGCCATGAGTCACGCTATGGCAAACTCTCTGTAAAGAGTCAGGAGTGTTTGTTGTACTTTAAGGCTCTGCATGCTTCGTCGTTGGGAGCAATGACTGCCTCCATGTTTTGTTCCACCCTCAGTAAGCAACATTTGCCAAGCACACCTTATTACAACAAATACTTCCCATGTTTGCAATGAGGGTAGGAGGTTGGTAGGGTGCCTGTGCAAATTGATAGGAGCTGGAGCAGCGAGAAGCTGACAAATCAATTGGCATCAAGCCAGTCTCATCGAACTCGCTGTGAAGCTCACCCTGAGCTCCCAGGCGTGCATCAATGGCGTCTTTCCACGTGCGTCTGAGAGGTGCACATCAGCATGATGTCCAAGCAACACAGACACAAGCGGGCTTTCCACATCCCGGCCATCCTTGGATGCAGCGCCATTCGGCAATCCTGGTTGACGAGCATGGTATATGTATTTGTATTTTTATTTGTATTGTTTTGTGTATATACAATATGCACGCATGTGTGGTTACAAAGAGACAGTCTGCAGGCAGGTAAGCATGCACCTCTGCAGAATGTAGGAAGCTAAATAGTGACAAGGGCTCATTGAATTGGCGATCATTCTTGCCTGGACCTGTGCAAAATGGATTGATCACCAGGGTCATTCTACTTCTTCTCGAGATGATGATTCGATCGACGAACATCCTACATGGGAAATGCTAGGTTTGAGAAGGCACCGTCACTTCAGTGAATCAAGAGCAAAAGATCAACCGATCGTGCTTATCCCTTTTGCTACAATGGTGGTTGCGGAGCATTGTCGAGAGTCTGAATCCACATAGTCAATCCTAGATGCCCACATCAGCAAAGTCTGCTTGCCTTGAGGGTCTGCCACCTGAGGCCAAAGAAGCAATATAAGCAAAAGCAAATTGGTTGATTCCTTTGTCCTTGACATCATTGAGTACCTCGTTCGCATCAGCAGAAGCTCCCAGCAACAATGCCGCGCAACCAGGCCAGCTATGCGCCAAAGCCTCACATTGAAAACAGTTCCATCCAGTGCTCATGTTGTAACTGCATGGTCTAGTTAGCAGCTAAGAACACAACAGAAGGATTGCACCCTTCTTTAGTTTAAACAAAGTTGAGATGTGGCGACTTTATGCTGAGCTCTGCGACCTTGCAAGACTTTTTGCCGAGCTGCTGCAGCCAAGCACGAAACACCAGCAGAGCGATGCGTTGGATCTGCACGGCGTTTCAAGAGCTCAGAAGCCACGTTTTCGTAACCTCAAGCAAATACTTTCGACCGTTCGGCTTGGTTCTTCAAGGACTTGGACCTCCTACCGTATGAAAGGAGTAGAGCAGGGAGTAAATGCAGTTTACATCAATATGAGCCCTCTCAATGAGTTCTGGCTATTTAGAACCGTTTACAGAACCCATCGAGAACGACAAATGCAATGAGTTGGTTGAATTCTCCTCGAAAAAGAATGACTTCTCTCCAACTGTGTCCCACGTGCCCAAGCTCCTCACCCATGGAACAGGCCCATTGCAGAAGTGAGCATCCGTGCATCCGCGGATCGTGCCAGTTCACGTCCAGTTCAGGATGTGTCCTGGACATATCGGCGAAGTACCGAAGTATCCTATGTTTACACGGTTTGGTCTTTGTCCTGTTCATCTGTCTTTTGGGGGGGAAGGTAAGTAGTAAAGAGCACCGCTGCTGTGCTAGTAGAGCTACTAGAGCTCCAGTCTCTTCGGGGAGAAAATTCATTGAAGAACCCCCGCTCGAAACGGCTCCGAGATTTGGAGAAAAAACCCTCAATGAATTTCAATTTAAAGCAAAAAACAAGAAGTTGAAACTTGCTAAAAGTTCGGCAGCACGTGAAAACACAAGAAACACGAAAACAAGGGCAACCTTTCTCACGCGGGGCATAGGGGTAAAAGAATCGGGTGTACCAAAGCAGTCGGGTGTGTTCATGGTGCTATATCTGTGGTATGAGATATGTTGTGTGTATGCTCAAGTGTGTGCGAACGAATGCTCCTTTGTCTCGTGCTCGAAAGCGAAAGAGCCATTCATGGCCTTGAGGATAGCCTGTCGGTCTATCTTGCCCTTAGTCATGCAGTCGGCCAACATGTCACGAGTGTCGCACCACACGACATTTGATGGGCAACAAAGCACAACATCTCTAAGCCATGCGATATGTGGAAACAGAGACTTCTCGGTTGGAAGCTTCAAGGATGTTCCGGTCCAGGCTTGAAAGAAATTCCTAGCATCTACCACTACTATGCTTTGGATGTCTGTCTTGGAGTTTTTTCGAAATGTTCGGAGCTCCTGTGTGGACATTGATCCGTTTAAAATCTCAATCATTGAAGCCAGCAATGGAACAAGCGAGTCCACCGTTCCCACCGCTGCAAGCGTCTCTGAGCTGAAGGTGCTTCGGGTCACCAGTTCCAAGCTCTGGCTCACAGCATCGATGAGATGGTAGCACTCTTTTCCTTCTCTGATGCCACATCTAAGAAAGACTGTGCCTCGAACTCCGTACCCTTTTGTTTCAGTTTCTTTGCAAAAGGATGCGTCTGAGAAGGCAAGTATTTTCTTAGCGCATTGCATTGAACGGTATACAATCACAGTTTTCTGCTTTTGCAGGATCTTTACCAATGAATTCAGTCTGCGAATATGTTGATACTTCGCTTGTGTGTCTGTCTTTGAAGTGAATTATGTACACAGCGATCCAATGTTGCGTCAGTAGAGTGTACGCTACGGCTCCTAACAAAGACCAATACGGCCTGGTTACGGTTTCACTGCAGTCTGCTTTCAAAGGTTTTCCTGTGATGTCTGGATGATGTATCTGTTTCAGTGCGGAAATGTAATCATTCTGATCGAGGATAATGGTGCCATCGGGTTTTCGGTGGTGATGTATTCCAACACAAGTGAAAACCGTTGTTGTTTCGATCGCTCTTTCCGAATACTTCTCCCAAAGATTTCAACAAGAGTTGAACTTCCTTTTCTTCACCGGCTATTTTGAGATCGTCCACATGTTTGACTAAAATAAGGACTAACTTACCGTTCACACGCTTTACTTCGCACTCTGGGTCGGCGGATAGTGGCTTGAGTCCTATCTTAGGTTGTCGGGTTACACTAGCCAGTTTCATACTGAACGCCCTGGGTGCGTCTTTACAGCCAGTACCTGGCTTGAGGCACTTAAGCACATGAAATCTCTCATCGTATTCTTCAAATCCAGGGACCAGCCTGAGGATCTGAGCGGAACCAACGGGCAGTGTGAAGTGAACAACACGCTCATCCTGCCCGGTGGCTTCGGCCAGTTCCTGGTGCGTTATTCCTTGAAGA